CTTCGATAAAATTATTATTTCCAAACATAATTTCTACACCTTCAAATCAAAAAGAGTATAAGTAAAAAGAAGTGTCAGACTGATTCCTCTTTGTGCAGGAACATCGTAATCCAACGTATTGAAACGCATATCGTGATAAAATTTTCGATATCAAGTAACATTACACATCCCGAGTGAATATGAAAAGTTAACTACATTTTTTATTTGATTCAAACGATTATCAGCACTGTCGAACGGAGAAAATTAGAAAAAGCTTTTTGAAAGACGCGCAATTCGAAAGCTATCACTCGATGATACGCGGTGATCGTAATTCTGTTTCCAATTTTCTTCCTGTCGCGTTGAATTGGGAACACACACCGTTCTCTTCTTTCGAACGTTCATAAAGTTTCAATAAAATTCGTTCAGGAACGAATGGCTAAATGTGTGTTCTCCTCTTCCTCGTGTCCCTCTTCCCTTTCTCACTCACCGAAACAAATTACTTCCGTAGGCGTTCAAACTACCGAGAGCTATTACGTGGCTTCACCGGTGGAAATTCCCGGCGAAATGTAGACCCCTAAACGGCTCGATTTTGTAGCCAGAGACAGAGACAGTCGGACAAGCTGTGCATCGTTGTTCTACCTCGCGCGCACTATATGAGACTCGTTTATGCGAGAAAAGAGAGAGAGAGAGAGAGAGAGAGAGAGAGAGAGAGAGAGAGAGAAGTTTGGATGTAAAATATCACGTACTATACAAAGCACACAAAGTTGGAGAAATATGTGAGAAGGTACATGACGTACACAAGTGATGATACTTACAGTGTACGTACTAATAATAATTTTGAAATCTAATGCGACACACGTACTTAATATATTTAAAAAAAAAACTAAAAAACCGAGAACAAAACTAAATTGATTATGTTAAAAATGTCTTATACATTATTAAATGTTATTTTTGTCAATTCTCAAACAATTTAAATTATCAATTCGTCGTTCAAAATACGTCTAGAATTCAATAAAGTCCGATAATTCTGTGTTTCAAGTGATCGAATGAGCAGATATTATTAGATTAGAATATGAGATAAAAGTGAAAGATAATCAAGAACTTGCTTATTAGTTCGTTGCTTGAATCGTCATCTATTGACGATGCAACCAGGCCACAAGCCTCTTTGTACAAGCGCGTCTGAATGAGGAAGTTCCACGGCCGATCTTTACGCGCGCCATTATCGATGAGAAAAGTTCGATTTTGCGATACGATGGACGCTAATGAGGGAAATTTCTTTCAAATACAAATTTTACTTCACTCGCCGCTCATTAGAGATATATTGAGAGATAATATATAATATATTTATATATTATATATTCATTATATATATATATATTTTTTTCATATATACAGACCGTGACGTCTATACTAACTTTAAAAGAAATTCCCTGAGAAATTATCCTGTTTTCCTAAGTGTAAAAGAAAACTTTCTTCAAAAACGAAAACAAAACAATCTTAATACCAAATTTATCAAAAGTATGACGCTTTTCCAACTGTTGTATAGACAGCACGTGACGTATTTTGCTTTTAAAAAATCGAAAACAACTTATATATACGTGCGAACGCCAGGATCCAGATGGTATGCAAAGCCAAGCACGTTCGCGGGAATCCCCGGGAGGCGCGGGAAGCCCCTGTATAACGAGAACGCGCGCGTCGTTCTTTCTGACATCTCTCGCGTGCTCAGGGATTACGACACGAAATTCGAACGGAACTAATTTGCCAGAATCTCCGCACAGCAATGTCTTTGCCTCTTTGGAGGCAACCGAACGTGCTGCGCGGCAATGACGTAACTACCGTTCAAGTGCTCCCTCTCTTCTCACACCCACTTCCAACTATGAGCCTAGCAGAAATCCAGGGAAACTCGCCTTTCAACCTTTATATTCGAGAACGTCGATCTCGATTACGTCGACGCGAATTCGATACCTTCCTTTTTCTTCTTCTTCTTCTTTTTTTCCCCCCTCACCCCGTCTTTTTCTCCCTCCTTCTCTGTGTCAGTACGTATGAGTAGTGACGTGAGTTTGCGCCAACATGCGCCGCAGAGAGAGATAAAGAAGGGACGCAGGTGGGCGACATTAAACATTAATAATTATCTGCCTTGCGGATATGAATTTTTAACACGATTTAACCTAGTTTGCGTTTTATCTTCGGAACAAAATTTAAGCCCGCGCACGCGCGCGCGCGCTTAAATTAAAAATAAACTGTCTTCGTAAAATTTATAATTCGTGTATTTACTTTCTTATTCGACGTTGCTGTCGCAGCAAATTTGTTCGCTCGAGAAAAATCGGAGAGATCTCTCTCCTCATTTTCAAAACAATCTCCCCCAGGAGATCCAGATTTCAGAAATATTAGCCATTTAGCTTCCCCATAAAGATTTGCGACGAAATAATCTTGAGAAAATAAGGAACAGATCTTTTTTTTTTTTTTTTACAGTGTATTCACATCAATACGAATTTATATTTATGAAGTGTCATCTATATTGTATCTATAGAATAACACATATTTTTATTAAAAAACTAATTGCCAAAAAAAAACAAGATCTAAGATACACTTCAATCAATCGGTTGTTCGAAAAGTGGACGAACGTTATCCGGGAGTTTCTTTTCAGAGATTTTCGAGATTTTTTCTCGCGTGAGCTCTCTCCTTGGCAAATGGAATTGTTCTTTTATGCAGCGACACAAGTAGTTGGGCGCTAAATGGCGCAGACCGCAACTGCAGTTTTTCCAATGTACGACGATCGGACGCCGGCGTGCCATCGTCCACGTAGGGGATCCTACGCGCGTGCTTATATAGGGGTTTTCTCTCGCGGCCTATTTTTTTGTATTTTCACTCTCGTCTTCGTGCCGCAGATCGCTCTGCTTTTGTCGTTCCCTTTTCATTGCATCGCCCGTAGATTCAGGTCAGTCTAGGTCGTTGCTTTTGCAGCAGCGTATACTCGTATCTCACACTCCCTCCCCCTCGCGCGGCCTCTTTAACCCTTCTACTATTCGACCACCTTGTCGCGACCTCACGTTCGTTGTTAACTCTGGACGGTTAGCGTATCGTGGTTGACCGAAAACGCGCGCTAACTCACCACACAAGACGTAATTATTCATATCGCGGTGTTTGTTTAATCTCGGAAAAAAATGTCCAAACAATGGTTAGGTCATTATTTTTCCTCCAAAATTTTTTAGTTGAATATTTAATGCTTTCGCGGTGTGTTGGATTAAATATTTGATGATTTTCGGGTTTGAACCGCGTCAGTGTCATTTTTATTATTTTTATATAAAAATACGAAAACCAATTTCTAAAGATTAACGTTTTAGTTATTATTATTTTTTTGTACGTAAACATACTCTGTGTAATTGTATAAACATCCAATTTTACATTCGACAAACTCGGTATTTAATTTTTAATACCACGTAAATCTCCGCGATTGAAATGACAAGTGAATGGAAAATTATTGAAATCGACAACTCTGAAATATCTCAATATTGACTCCTCCTTCAGTCTCGCTGTATTTACGAGAATCTTCGGCGAAGGATGAGTTCGTGATAGACAGCAAGCTAGACGTTCTCCGTTATTTTGCACTTATTATCAATTATTATTACTAAGGTCCAACCCTGCGCGGACATTTAATTTTACGAGCGATTGCACACACGAAGTTCCTTCGGATATCTTGTCTTTAAAGTTTCTGGTTTAACGTCCTCCTCAAAATGTGTCAAACAAACAGGCAACGGTTGTCTCAAAGAGAGATCGTGCAAATCCAAGTCACGTACGCAATCACTTCTCGTATTTGCGCAATAAAATATATTTATACAACACACAAACCATTTTGGTTTTCGTTCTTCAAGACAAAGTTTTTGTTTACAATCCGCGTATATATTTGATATCTTTCTAATCCCCCGAAGAGGGATATTTTCTGTAAAAATAAACTTTGCTTGAATTTGCACGATAAACAAGATCTCACATCGTCTTGCGCATATATGCACACGTCTGAGACTATTTCCGTAAAAAAAATCCTTTGTTTCCAAACTCCTCTCACATCTTCGCGTCTTCATTAAACAGAAAAAATTCGTCGCACACTTTGTCACCCCAAGTTAAAAGAGCTTTGTTAAAGTGTCCGGAGCAGCATCTTGCTCTCGCTTTTCTCCGAAGGCGTGACTTAACTCGATAAAACAAGTCGCTCTGCAGGCGGAGGAAGGTTACCAATTACTTGTCGGGCGCGCGAAACGACAACGCGGCGGGAGTTCTCTCTCGTCGAGAACACAACGTGTAATATCATATTTCACTCGATGGCGAATTAATTACGCCACTTCGGGGAATTATTATACGCGCGTCGCGCGCGAGCACGCAGACGAGCAAACAGTGTAACAAACACCGACGCACATCGGCGCGTACAACAACTGCAACACCCGCGCCGCGGCGCGTAATTCGTCGCGTCGTCGGCATTGTTTACCGACTGAAAGGTGGAATTGTTATAATAAATTAATTGGCACTGTTTGCGCCGGTTATTGCTTCAACTCGGCTTGTTACTGCGCGACGTATTGTTGCTGCGCTCGCAATTACGGAAGCGCTTTGCGCCGCGGAGCTCTCTCGTCGTCTTTACGAATTAGCGTGCAAATTAGCATATCGCGTGTCACGTGCCGCAATCAATTTTCTTCGTAATCTTCAAACGAATACGCGCGCACACACGTATTTTCGTTACTTATAAGAAATAATTTCTTTTTTTTTATTTTATTTATTATTGTCTCGTTAGCGTCTATTGTTTTTGTTGCGTATTTTGTTCGTTTCAAATTCGCAAGAAAATATGCATGGTTGTTTTGTAGAAACAGTTTTTTCTCTTCTATACAAATATAATGAACTTTTCAAGACCACTTGCGCGCGCGAAAACTACAATTTCTTGTTTGCGCAACTCATAAAAGCCCGCTTACTTTTATCGTTATTGAGCAACCGGGTTTATGAGTCAAGCAGGACGAAAAAGTTAAGTGTTACAGACTTACCGTAGACGGCTGCCTGGGGAGACGTCGGGGCGAGAGTCTCTACTGAACAATTCCCTGCAAAAGTTAGACAATTTTATATATTGTTTAAAATATTTTAACACACGTACATATGTTATTGTCTAAAATTAATACATTTCCGATCTATAATAAATGTCTAAGTAAAAAATTCTACAACATTTTGTTTAAAAGATCAAATAATATATTTTTTTAAACATCTAATAATATATTTTTTTTTATAGTCACGTTGTTTGGATTTACGAATTAGATGGAATATAAAGTTGCGTTTTGCATTAGTCAAGAGAGATACGCGCGAGCGTCGAGAAAACGGAGCTAATATTCACACACATCCTTCGACGCGCAGTCGAGTGTTAATAAAGCGGTAAACCGTGTATCACACACAAGGCTAATGACCGGTGAAATTGCACCGTGTTAAGATATCTCTTGACTAATATCCCACTCGAGAGGGTTACCACGAAGTCGAATTTCTCTCGTTAGGAAGTTAATCCTTGGTTCAAGATTTTCGATATTACAGTTTATTTAACACAGAAGAGAAAGCTAAAATCTTTTCCGAAGTCGTTATCCGTATCGCCGAGTCTATCGGTTTTATTTACAACGTCAAATGACTTCTGAAATTCACGGTCTTTGACGAGTTTTTTTTTTTTTTTTTTTTTTTACTGTGTAAACAGGTGTTCGGAAACTTAGCTCATTTTTGTTTGGAAAAAATTTAAATTATATATCTTCTTTTTCTCTATTTTACTTTTGAGTTTTATCTCATAAAACATCCTATATGAAAGTCAACTTTTATTTTCTTCGTGTAAACGCTGAACTCGCATTTTCTCCTCCGACTAGGCACACTGCCGACCGTTTTTAACGATTGACTTACAATTGATATCAGCGCTATATAATCCGCAAATAACTCACAATCGCGATTCAGATACATATTATTACTTGTCGTTACCTATTTTTATTTTTCTTATCCGTTCCATATTTCTCTCTCACAAATTCTTATAAATTTCTTACAATCGGAAATACATAATCGTGAAACTGATCGGACGTATTTCCGACGAGATGTAAATTACAAATGAATGTTCGCGAAGACGATTGCTGCTTATTTTCAATAATCCGTGTTGTTATTTGCTAAGAGCAATTAATCCATTTTTTTTTCTCCGACACATTTTATATAACACCGTTACGTATGTGTGTGTGTGTGTATTGTATTCTTTCTACCGTCGATCACAACATCTGTCAACGTCAAAAATTTGCACAAACAAATATGTGTTTTATGGAGGGTTGAATTTTTTTAGTTTCAAATTTTTCAAGAGATATATATCACACAAATTTCGAGGCAGCGTGTGTTACAAATTTTGTTCTCGCGTATATTTTTAAAATTTAAATAAAGATCTATTATTACAAGAAATTATTATTATGACAAACTTTACATACAGAGCGGACGGACTCTAAGCACATATGAAAATATTAACGATGGGGAAAAATAAACGCGTTCAAAACTATTACAAAAATGTTGTACAAAAACATGATACGCGCGCGCTTTTCAACTCTCTCTCTCTCTCTTTCTGTCTATCTCTCTCTTTCAATTATCTGACTTTTTAGATATCAATTAGAAGAGAGAATTCGTTTTCAATAAATCGGGATACAGTGCTGAGTATTTTTCGCTGAACACGCAGCTTGATTAAGATACGAAAAACAATTCGAGTTTGGAATAAACGAACGTTACTTCATTAATTTTCCACAAAAGTCTGATTAGAATCTTCCCATAATGATTTTTTTCCATGTGAGATAAAACGCAGCAGCAGACACATTTCAAGAGACTTAATCCTCGTATGCGGTGTTTTGTGTTTATAAATATTTATAACAAAACAAAAACTTGAATTATAAAATGGGTATTTTATATTGCCGGTATGTCGGTTGTTTTGGGTCAAAATAACAACAAGCAAGATTTAAACCGCGCAAGACGGGTTAAACCGACACGATTTAGGGAAACACGAAAAAAAGAAGAAGCGAAAAAAAAAATCTTAAATCAGCAAATCTCGAAGGCATTCATATGTATGAGCACAGATCTCGGAATTGTAATATATTTGGCATATAAGCCAGATACACGATGTAAGATCGATATTTTTCATTTGTCTTTATATCACTATCAAAAATGTGTTTCACAGAGAGAGAGAGAGAGAGAGAGGAACAGCAATTTCTTCGTGAAAGTATTCTTCGCGCGGATTTTACGCGGAAATACACCGAGACATCGGGCGGAATATGAAAATATATACAAAGAATGAGAAACATAAAAACAGAGAGAAATAGAAACTATTTCTTTTTCTCAAAATATCTTCGATGATTTTTCTAGACAAAAAGGAAATTTCGCGTGAAAATTTTGAAAACAAAGAAACAATCCCGTAAAAGAAACCTCTTCAGCTGCAAAAAAATGGATAAAAGCAAAAATATAGATAAAGCACTTCTATAATTTATATACACACATATATATGTATATATAACAAATACGAATTGTTTTATTAATAAATATAATGCAAAATTAAAAATATGTGTGTAAAATATAGTCGCTAACGTACGAGATGTCGTTTACAAAAACATCTCCGTGTGTGTATCACATTTATATTAAACATCACAAAAGGAAAGATAATTTTTCTAAAAAATAAAACCAAAAGACAATAATATTGTTCGGAAAGTGCGCAGCGTTTTTAAATGAAGTTCAAAGGTTTATAGTATCGACTTACATTTAACTTTTGTGAATACACGGTGCTGTTCGATGTTTTTGATCAAACATGTTGTCATTTACGCGTAATGCCACTTATTAAAAAAACGCTATGAATTTTCCGAACAATCCAATAATTCTTTCACAACGTTTCTAGAAAAATAAAATTGTGGCGCGTAATTTTGACGTCGTTGAGAAAAGAGTTAAGCGCCGTTAAATCGCACCGGCGACGTGTTTCGTCAACAATGGCCGATAGAGATGATGATTCGAATGAGTTTACGAAGACGTCCATGAGGCGTGTGCGACACATCGACAGTTGCTGACATAAAAGCTGCCGGAAAATCTCTCGTCACGTATCTCGTCGCGGCCCGATATTGAAAGACTAATACAGGATCCTCACGTAAAAGGATTCTCGCTGTTCCTTTGACCCGGTGGTTTATAGAAAGCCAAGCGCGGCTCTCTTTCTCTCTCTCTCTCTCTCTCTCTCGCTTCCCTTCTCGCGCGCACAACCGGATCCGATAAATATTAAATACCAACCGCGGCGGGCTACTCGTCGCGCATTAATAAATTTCGAATTATGTATATCGACAGATGCGCGCGAGAGGAATTTCAGTTATATATGTATAACGCGCGTGCGCGTTTATTACATCGATACATGGCATCATAGGTCAGAGCGGCATTATCGGAAAGTTCGATAGAACATTGAGAACGAATCATTCAATATCGCTAATTCTAACATAACGATTTAACAATTGCGGACATTTCTATGTATTTATAACGGTTTGGTATTTGATTTGCATAATTATGAATCTCTCATAATGACAGGATAATAGCAGACCTTTGTATTAAGTATTACGTGAAAATGGAAACTATAGAGAGATTAATATAATAAATGCCTTCTCGCCGATAGAATGCATACATTTTATAGTGTGTCCTGTTTGTCATGCGATTATACTGCAAATAAGATAATACGATTTATTGTTGTTGTAAATTATAGAAGAGAGATCGCAATAAAAGAGAATTATTCTAACAAACAAAAAAATTATTTCCAATTACCATTGGAAAAACTTTCCATTCCAAACTTTTGTTTTAACATTTTGGCTTACATCTTCTGTACAAAAATTAAGATATCATGTATTTTTAAAAGCAAAAATACATACTTAACCGTAAGAAAGATTTTAAAATGTTTCCTCAGAGGAGAAATATTAAATTCAATTTCTTTTTTAATCAGATTTAAAAAAAACGGCATTGAAGAAAGAGAGAAGGCTAATTCGCTCAATTGGTTGCCGGTCAAGTAAAAGCGAACTTCTCGAAAAGAATTTCTACAAAAATTTCCTTGACTTTTAATAAAATTTTCAGAACATATTCTCTTTCTCTTTTTTTCTTCTCGAAGACGAAAAATACAATTATTATTTCATATAATTGTAAATGTTTTATTTTATTCTCCTCAGACAACAGAAATAGAAATGTCCTATTTAGACGTTTCTTGAGAACTGTGACATTTCATTGAAACTAATATTTTTCTTTCCCGTGTGTGATCTTTATCGGTTTATGTAATATTTATTTGTACCAACACCGATTTGTGGTAGAACAATATTAAGTTTCCCACGACAGTGCAAGAAACTGGTCCCGCGTGCAACCTTGTTCGCGTCTTTATAGCGCTCGCTGTGCTAGAACAGTCACGGCAGATAAACCTGGGAGTAGACAAGGGAGAGAGAGAACGTCTATCGTACTTTTCTCTCAAAAGCCTCGAGCTCTCTGAGTCCTCTTCTCCGGAAGCATCCGCCGTAAGCTCCCTGAATTCCAGAGACTCCGCATCGAAATTGAATTACCCAAACTGAATTTTCGCGAGAGAGAGAGAGAGNGAGAGAGAGAGAGAGAGAGAGAGAGAGAGAGAGAGAGAGANAGAGAGAGAGAGATCCGTAGAATATCTTTTCCCTTTAGCAGGCAATACTAAAAACAACGAAAACTATCTTTGATGTCTGACACGGCAGACGCGCATTTTTTTATATTGATATTTTTACGAAGGCTTCTCGAATACTTTGTTCCAGCCGCGTATCAAATTATGACGTCAGAGAAAAGCAAAAAAAAATAAATCGGTTTTCATAAACGACGAGATCGAAAGGATAAATTGATAAGATATCCGCCGAGAATTACTTTTCTCGGCTCGCAAACACGCCTATAAATTTCGATTAAAAAAATTGTCACAAGATCAATTTCGATCGCTTCTTATTGTGTTTTAGTCTGTAAAACTTCTCGCGCATCACGTAAAAGAACTTAAACTCACAAATTCAAAAAAAAAAAAAAAAGATTACAACGCAAGCAA